TAATGATTTGATTGTACGCTACACCCCCTAGTAAAGTATGTAAGAATCATAAAATGATTAGATCATGCTTAAATATGGATCGTGCTATATATATATATATATATATATACTCGTCGATTATAATATCGTTGACGAAAATAAAAAATCTTATTGATTATAGCTTTTTTGTTATACTCAGAGCAGTACTTGACAAATGTCCGAGCCATCGTTATAACAATTTAGTTCTTTTAATCAAATAGGTGTTCTTTCTTTTCCGTAAGGCCTAAATGTTTACTATTTACGAGATTGAGATTTTCGAGCATAAATGGTTTTTCAAAACACACGTAGGTCACCGAAAGAATGCTACTGCTGTTGTTTGATGGTTCCGTCACCACAGAACGATTCGAAGGTCACTATTTTTTTGCTATAACGATTATTCTGGTATCTTGATCATCTGCCAGTCCTGAATGGCCTACACTAGGCCTCCTAGTCCATGCTGACCAGCCAAGATCAAGTTAGGTTCAATCCGATTTTTACTTCAGGCCCATTGTGGTTTTTGGTCGAATCCCTCTTTTGTTGTCGTGGTCCTCTTCGTGTCTTTTGGTCTTGCTTGATTTTTAGTCATCACAAGCGATCACCCTCTATGCACCGAGACCCTTCTTCCGCTGTCTCCACTATCCCCTATCGATGGCGCTTTGATGCTGCCGAATTTAATCTTATCTGAGATAGAAAAGATGATCCATCCTACAGTGCTCATTCAGATGGGAACAGCGGTTTTTAGATATACCTATCAGTTTTCCTTGATTTCGTGGCGGTGGGCCGGTCAGCTAGGTCTCATCAGACCCTGAAAGTCAGGCGCAGCGTTCCGACTGGGTCACTGCAAAAGCGGGAATGGAATGGAGGCAGAAGGAAAAGCACACCGCGACGCATAATCATTCGGACTTCATCGGAGCGTTGTGTTATATGTAAGACGTATGTAAACATAATTGATGTGAAACACACATATAGATGGTAGTACACGTTGATGGAAAAAGGGCTTAGGTAGATACGGGAATCACGATTCATGACATATGTAATTGAATAGAACTCAAAATCCAAAGTGTATCTAATGAGGGGCATATAGTTATATATATATATATATATATAAAACAAAAATGATACACAACAATAACAACAACAATCATAACTTGATTAGGTATTTGATAATACCCAACAGGCAATATCAGTAGTAACAGAAATTACGCATCTGATCGATCGCAACATTAAGTCCAGCTCCACTTTTCTTTGCATGTTATCGTCCCATTTCCATTTGCGTCCTGTAGCTTGGCGTTTGAAAGCTTATTTATTCGGTGGTATTGAATCTGTTCGAGAGCGGCAACGAATGCTAATGCACTGCGCGAACCGCAGTGATGATACCCGACTTATCCAACATCGTCTAAAACAACCCATTTAGTTCCCCAATCAGTTTCGACCCCTGCAATGTTAGCGAGTCCATGATGCGCATGCGCGTCGATCAGCGGTTTAGTACAGTCCCTCGCTCGTAACGCCCTTCATTTATTGTCATCTATGGCCTCCTTGGTGCTTTTCTGCGCCACGTCCTGCTGTTGCTGCTTGCCTACGTTCAAGTTATGCGCACCAAATTGCTAACGGTTTGGATGGGAGAGCAGTTGTAGCATTGCTACCTAAGCACAGAAATATAGAAACTGCAATAAATGAATGCTTTGACACATCACCTGTTCATCCACTGCGGCTGGCGGCAACCTCTACTTACGATCCCAGACAGGATATCGCCTGCCAGTAGCATCTGATGGTGGTTATTGGTTTGGATTCACTATATCCTATTTCCAAGGCTCCCTTCATTCATCGTTACAGTCGATATTTCACTTTGTTTCTCCACATGATTCTAGGAAGTTAAAATATCTGGAAATTGGCTTTTATTAATATTAATTCATTTCAAACTCTCCCGCCCGCACTAACCGCTCTTCATCCTTTATTTTTTTTTTCTTTTTTGATTACGTTGTAGAGAACGGTTGTGGGTAATGGAAGTGTTAAACTTCAGCCGAAATTTTGTCAGTGAACCCCCAACGGGGGTTCCATGTGCATTCCACCATGCTAACGGTGGCTTGACTGTTTTTCATCGTTTTCGTTTTCTTCATTGTTGTTAAGCATTGTTATTCTGGCGGCTCTGATTTTTACGCAGATTCCCCTATGTTGCTCGACTAAATTCTTCTAGCAGCAACAGCGGAACCGTCGAGCGTAATTTACTGAAACTCGAAGTAATGACCAGTTACGCTAGCTTTGCGGTCGCCATAAGCACGACTAAAGGCTACTATGTGGCAGGCCCTCTCTTTCTCTCATCCATTTACGAAGCAAGCGCTCCCAGAGGCGAGATTATACGTCAATGCTTCTCCCTGTACCCCCAAGGCCTACAACGACAAGCAGCTTCATCATCTCCAAAACCCTCTCCTTATAACGAGAGTGAGTACCCCACTCTCTTGGCTTCCGCGATTTATATACAGCTCGGAAAACGTTAGACGGCGGCCGACCATTCAACCCACCGTTGGCTGGGCGTATATGGGCAACTGGACGGGTTAACGTTAGCGAACAGACCTATCCTGGGAGGTCGGTTAGGCCCATCTATCCGAGCTCCAGCTAATAACTGCTTAAATAGCAACAAAGGACGAATCCGGCAGAAATTCGCTATTGAGTTGGTCAGCATGTTGTAAAACACTATCGGGCTGTTGTCATGCTAAACATGATGTTATTAACAGCTGTAAAGTGTATTAGTACACCGTTATATGGAGAAATAAACCAACTTGCTTGACATGGGCTAGCGTTGTAGTGGCGCAATTCTCGAATTAGTAGCAGTTGTAGTAGAACCCGTTGGCCACCGTTTGCACGAGGCTCTGAGAGAAGGCTGTTCGTGAGGGTTGTTAGATTGTACAGGCAGCCAGTGGAAAAAAAGAGGTAGCCTTAACAGTAACGGGTCATCGATCTGAGTATTTCGATGCTTAGGTCGGTACAATATTTTATATGTAAAGATTATTATAACTTTTTAGCGGTAATTACCTAACGCAGCATTTGGCTTTCATTGTGGCCCGTGTTCATTTAATCAGATTAACTATACCTGGTACCGGTTCAAAGCTGTGTTGTATAATAGACATAATTATATTATAATACATTGGTGTTTCGTTTGTCGTCGTAATGCCATAGAATCGATGGCATATCGATACATGAATTTTGCCAGTAGTGAAGTTGATCGTTGTTACAACAACTTTCTACAAGAAAAACAATAATGCGTCATGCCCAGTGTTAAGCTTCAAGGTTTAAGATTCATCTATTAAAAAAACCTGCTTTTTTTTGATACCTTGAATGCCACAGGTTCTTCATTAGAAGAAAACCATAATAGTCTGTGACGATTTACCAAGTTGATGTACCTATACAGCGTACTTTTTCGGCAGACTAATTGTTGACTAGGTAATGTGGCAGATACACAGGTAGAGCTGCGATTCGTTTGGCCTCCAATAAGCCAGAAAGGCCATTAGATAAGAGTTGTTCTATTAAATCTGTTCCCTATTTACCCTTTCACGGTGCATGGTCGTCTGTCCTGCCGAACGAATGTACTTCGTCTAGCAGGTGGTTCGCTGGCTTGGCCGTATTGCGTCCTGCTGATATTAGCCAGACGACTGCGCCTGTTTCTGCTGCGTCGCTAACAGCGCCTTTGATCTCAATCAGGGGCAAATGATCGTTCTTCATGCATTTGAAACTGCATCAGACAGCTGAATGGCTTCACGGTGTCAGTTGTGAATGCCGCTGTGAAGCCAATACTGAACTGCTAAATTTAGCTATTTTTTATTATTTATATTATATAAAATGAAAAGGATATCAACATTAACTAAATTTACCGACGCTATTTCAACATCAAATACTAATGCGTGCTTAAGATTACCTTTTTGCTGATTTTTGCCGGGTTCAGAACCGATAGAGCAGAACAGATGTTTTAGCCTTCGTTTAAAAAAGTGCGGGCTCGGGCGAAGTAAATATTTACTGACTACATGGAACTAAGGCAACCAAGGAATTATTATTACTACTCTTGGCCAATATTCTTGTAAAAGCTCGAACTTATAGATTTCAAGGAACATTAAACACGGCTGTGAAACAATTAGTGAATGTAAGGGACTCTTGATTATTAATGGCAAATAGAAAGTGATTTTGACTTGACGACTGGTGTCGTTTGCCCCTGTATTTTCATTTGAGTTAGTATCGATAACACGTTCTAGATGAGATTCAAGTGTACGATCTTCTGGAGCCTTTTCTATAACCACCTTTCACGATATAACGATTTACGCAATTTAATAGGACCGGATGTAATTGGATTATGTGAGTTAGGGAAAACGGAAAATCTGTCGGCCAGGAACCGGGACGGATGAGACCAGCTGTTTGAATTATAACTCGTTATTAAACAACGACGCAGTGCCTAACTTGGAAAGATTAAAACGGCTAATGTTAATAATAAAACAACCGTATTGAACGGATTTAATGATCCTACTAAGTATTTAAAAATCAATATGTAATCATTCGATATCAAATCAGAGGAGTAAAATTACTCCATATGGATATAAACATCTTTTTCGAAAGGGTTAGGTTTTTTTTTTCGCATAACATTTAGTCAATATACGAGATCCTGTCGTGCGTCAGCTCGGGTGATCGAGCACATTTGCAAAAATTCAATTCATGAAGATAGCTTTGATAATCTAGATCGGTTAGACGTCCACCATGTCCATCTTAGCGATCTGCAGCTGTCGCCCTTGTAATGTTCCTCCGTTTTTGCCATTCTCCGCCAATGCTGATTTGTTCCGTTACCCAATATGCTATGGGTGAGGAAACAACCTAAATCCCGACTGAACTTAAAATGTCGTCTATGACGTCGGGCTCATGTCGTGCTCCGGTCGCAGTTGCAGCGTCAACGGGCTTACGTCTAATTTCTGCTTCTTTTGATATTTTTCTCCCATCTGTTTTTCGTTTACTACTTTTGCTGGCATATATCGCATTTTACCAGTCACCTACCCCTTCGTGAGTTGTAGAAGCTGCAATGATAGTCGACTGTTACCGCTATTACGACTATTATCGCCAATCACCGTTATTATTGACGTAAATTATTGACGAAGATCTAATACCATGTGATTCAGGTGAAGATCTAGCTCATCCGAGCACACTTACAGTATATAACGTCAGTTTATATGCCTATATCAATATAGTTAAATGCTGACTATGCTCTCGAATTTTCACTATGTCAGGCCACATGTTACGAGAGCGTAGCTGAACGTTACACTTTAGGCATTTTCAAAGAACGAACTAGTTCGTGGTCGAAAGTACTGTATATATTAGCCCAGTAAATTAAAGTGAGATAAAGTGATAACGAGTCAAATGAGCACCGCATCTGAGGTATAGCAGCATGTTTTAACCTCATTAGTATAAAAGGTCTACTAGGACCACTTCCCATTAAAAGACTTTCTCCCTATCCAATCGGCCCGTTTCCGGCTAGGTTTCACTCTTGGTAACATCGACAAGAAAAGACACGTCGATGATGAAGAAGATGGAACTGCAGAGTATCGCGAGTTTCCTCTGCAGTGCTGCAGGTTGGTTCGGAAGGCGTCATCATGTAATCCGGTCTCCTGTTTGCAAGCTTCTAGCTTAAACAGGAGATTCGTCTTGGAGAAGATTTAGTCGTTGGCAAGTACATGCGGACAGATATACTGACGACGGGGTTGTCCGGCCGGCCGCAAGTCTAACCATTTCTACTTGCTTTTTTTTTTTCGACTGCAGATACTCGATGTGTATTGACCGGGTGGGTATCCCGAGTGAGGTTTCAGTCACCCCAAAGCGGGGTGTGCACGGCACTATCTGATTTGAAGGGGAAAGGTTGATTTGATTTCTATTACAGTTGCTTCCGTTGCCACTGCCGGCACCCCGAGGTAGTCTACGAAATTATTACCTTAGATACCTTTTTTTGCCTTAGAAATGGAAATTCGTATGAGAGCCAGGAAAACGTTCTGCTATGCAAAATATGGATACTCATTCATGTTACACCATGATTACTGCTATTGGTTATTATAAACTTATTGCTATAAACTTAAACGAGCAGGTACCACAACATAAGCGTACCTTTAGTCCTGTATGTGTGTGTTTGTTAGATGCCTTATGAAATTTAGCTCCAGTACCAGTTACCAGTCGAGTATGAGGAACTATCATTATTTTCAGTATAATGCTTGCAGTGTACGTCGTTGTTAGTCCCGTTTTATCAGCGTCGCTGTATTGTAGCCGGTTTAATTCTTGGGCATAGTGGCGGAGCAGTTGGAACATATACTACTGATTAGCTTTACTTTACCAACATATCTGCTTTTCAATATATCCTATATGCAATGTCCAGCAAACTTTGTAATCCTCGAACTAAGTCTGGTTTAAAAAGTTGTGCTGTTCTTTTTTTGTACACATCCTTAAAACATATCATTTCAGTTAATGGCATCACTTCAATTTCTCGTCGCCACCTTCACGACCCGCCCCTCTTCGCCAATTGCCACCTCTGTGTTTCTTGCTTGTCTCAATAATTATTCGTAGCTTTATTTTAAGTCTTTCTCATGGCCTGCTGTGCAGTGGCATTCGTTGCCACTGGTAGCACTTTGCCGCCGCTCCAGCTAGCAAACGAGGCTTTATCTATGTCCTACCCTTCTTCCACCATCTTCCCTGCCTTCTCGCTCTAGCCATATCTGAGTGCGTCATGTGTCCTAGCTTCCTCAAACTTTTTTCCTTTACACAGTTAGTTTTCTGATGCGTAGATTGCGTAGATCCACCTGGAATAGGTTAGCTTTGCTGCGTTGTGTACTATGAGAAACTCCGATTCAGTTTTTCGCTTCCTCTTGCCTCTACACCATGAGGTCTCCAGGTTGACCGACGTATTTGAAGTGCTAGGCAGGGTAACAGTCTAAGCTTACCCTATAATACTGTACAAAAACTGTTGTGTTTTCTAGGTCTCGATCCCAAATGTAATTAGAGGTAATAACATACACACACACACACACACACATTTATATGTAACGTAACATATATATATATGTATTAGAACGTGCTTAATTGTAACGTAACAGTGAACCACTTCTATACATATTCCATATGTACGAGGCATGAATTTGCATTTTCATTCCGATCGCAGCAACGTCTTGCTCGAGTGAGCAGTATCCATCCCCGGGTGCGCAGTCCATACGCATCATAGGCGTCGTTTAAGCTGTAGGGCGCAACCTTTTTCGTCCTACTTAAAACGATGGCCGCAACGTCCATAGTGGCGGACGAACAGATAGCTGCGGATGACCAGGGAGAGATATTTAAGATGATGCAGGCATGTACAGCTCGTAGGGCCCGCGTCGGATCGCGTTCTCAGGGCTCAACGAGTGAAGATTGAGGAACAGGTGCGTATAGGAACAAGAAAGCTAGATATTCACATCTTTCCTAGCGTGGCAGCCGTATAAGGGGAATTATTTGATATTCAATTCAGATATTTCCGTTACCAGGGCGACCCTGCCTACACCGTTGCCACCTTCGGCTGGTCCTGTAAGTACCATCTCTTTCGTACCTCACCCAAGAACATCTTCCTTCTTTGACAGATGATTATGGCAGAGTGCAGCCTACTTGCCCCGACCAGCTTCGAACCAACTTCGTGAGCCTTTAGAATCTTTTTCGTTTTTAGGGGAAAAGTGCTCTGCTATCTTGCGTCCTGTTTTCTCTTTTTAACTGCTTACATCAGTGATGTAGCACCTGTTTTTTGCCCGGTAACAAGCATAAATTTCTTATAGCTTTGAAAACATAAGAAAAGTTAAATTCATGCATTGGGTGAGTAAATTCTCAGCTGTTACGAAGCTATTACCATGATCCAATCCCTTGCTAAGCATCTTACTGCCAGCGAGCTGGTGCTTCCTGCATGAAGTGGGAGCTTCATAGTACATCTAGTCTGTTGATCAATCTATTTCTAGCGTGTTTTTGGTCTTACCTACCTGAGTACAGCTCCTTTTGCGACGGGTACAATTTCCATTTCTTGGGGACGAGAATCCTCACACTCCACAGTTACAGACAGGTACTCTTGGCTAGGAACCTGTAGAAGAAACGAATTATTGAGTAAACTCCATTAAGTATTCTTCTATATGACAACAATAGTAATTGTAATAAGCACTTACGAAGGCAGTTTTTGTTCTTATGCGACAAACCCGTTCAGTCCGCAAACCTTAATCATCTCGCCCATGTAATCAAAGTGTAATGTAAAGCAAAGTTAACGCGTCGCATCGTATCGAGCATTTAACCGTCATCAAGCTTCAGCCAAAACTCTTGCGTTCCTTCTTTTTATTTTTAAATTTCGCGGTTATCTAAAGTAGTACAGGTCTTTGAAACAAAGCAAAACATATGCGAAGCATTCAAGCTTCAGACGAACTTTCTGGCTTATGATCAATATCGAATTGTTGAAGCGTAAAAACGAACACTAACAGTGCTACTTCTTTTATCTAGCTAAATTGCTAACGGTTTCGATCGTCGTTTTAAAAATCGTTCTCGTTCAATACGATATACTTCTTCATCAATTATATCCAAGCTGCATTTTACTTTAGCTATTCTAACAGCGGCTTTCGGAAGCTATCTACATAGCTCAGAAAGACGCAGCTTTGTTTATAGGCCTTTGATGTACAATATACACTAATTGAAAGGTAATTGTGCACGCCACTAACACTGAGAGCGTCATCGGGCCGCACGGTATCTAGCGACCATAACCCTAGCCGACTAATCTATGTGTATGTTCACTGCTGCTGCCATTACTTCAGCACATCACGCAAGGGCCTCAATCGGCGCGGCGCGCTCGTCGTCCCCAACTAGCGGATAAGGCTGCTTGCTACAGGGTTTTGTTCGAGGCGGTAGTGCAGGGTCGACTAATATGGGTGCCCTTTCGACGCAGCATGTTTGCTTTGCGACAATCACCATCAGTACGTTTTGTTGCAAATCTACTACTTACGTGTGCTCTAGCCGTAGACCTGAGAACATGTTGCTCCGGGACCCAACGGCGATATCCCATCAAGCGGCCATACCCTATTTGCTTCTACTCCGGAAAAGCCGACCATGAAGCACTTTGAGATTGCTAAAATGCTTTTGCTCCTGACCTAGTGCTACCCCTATAATGTATTGCCCGCCATCGGACCGCGCACGCATCTGCTTTCAACCTCCTACCAAAAATGAACCTGTCAGTGAGTAGAAGTATCTATAGGTAGACATGACGGTGTAAATCTCGGCAAGCGTATGAAGCTAACTGCGCATTTGACGACCGTGCTTGTTAAGTGACAGGCTCGTTAGTGTTGAACTAATAACCACAGTGGCCTATACCATATACGATGGTGAAAAACCCTGCAACGAACTTTTGTTGAGCGATCGAAACAATCGATGAACCAGGATCATGGCCAGATAAGGTACCATTGAGTGATGGACGGGTGCAAACGTATGACGCTTGCTGAATAACCTGAACGATATGAAGAATCGAGGAAAACCTGGCCAGTAGGATACGACGAGTCTGTTAAATGCTTCACTAAGAGCCAAAGGGGACACTTCGTTAGCAGCATATCGGTGCATGACCTTTTGCTTCACTAATTTGTTATCGATGATAGAAGTAGGGTAAAAGCCACCTGAAACGGGCTTCAGTAGTATATCGTTTACCCATTGTATTGCATTTGGTGCCTGTTTAAAGCAAGGAAAAACGTCCATGGGCACCGAGTTTCTCTATTAAACTATTTGTCTCGAAAAGAAGCCTCAGACCAACGAGCTTAATACCGATGCTTTTGTTCCTAGCCCTTCGCTCTCCTAGTTCTAACCCAGAACTGCATTTCCTATTGACAGTAGCAAAAAAATTATGGAGCACGGATTTTTGCCATGACACACACACAGACGGTTGGTGTCGTCTCTCATTCGAACGTTTTCGTTTTGCTACGGGAAACATGTGCATTTGTGTTATAATATTTACGATTATTTGACGTATGTACATGTTACAGGATTATCCTGGCACCATTAACAGCATCATCGTCAATCTTATTGGTACCCTGTGCCCACGATCCCCATTTTTAATTCTACACTCATAAAATGTAATTGATACTGATGTGGCGTCGCGCACAGTAGCAGATGAAATTAAATCCAAATGACAAAAGTAAAACCCGATGCTTTATCTATAATATAGAAAATTTCGAGAAAAATCAGATCTGTTAGGACTATATGGAGAGTTAATGTAGTCTCTTCGGACCTGTCAAATCACTGTCTACATAAACATATTATTGATGCATGTATTGTTACAGCGTTAGGCGATTTTTGGCTTTTGAAATTAGGGCCACCAACATCTTTTTATTATATTTTCGGGTGGGGCAGCAGCACAACAATAAGTACGTTTAGGAAAAGCAATAATTTTATCGGCCGTGTACAATTTTTCTCATATATATCTTGTAGTATTCGTTATTTTCCAATACAATAGTAAAGTCGAGCATTGGAAGAGCGTATAGCTGTTGGAAGCGTTCCTAATCCTGACACTGAATGTCCTGCTTATCAAACAACTTGCCCTCCAATTACATGTACAACAGTGAATTTTTAAAAAACAAAATCTGGTAAAGTGTAAATTGTGATTACCAATGGCCGCAAAGAGCAATTACGTAGCTGTCGATCCTCCCACGGCTAAACCACGCTGATTCTCACTCAAACGAGCGTACATAACGAGAAAGTTTAATAAAATACGTGTGCGTATATTACTAGTATAGACAACGAGGCGATAGTACTGCCGATAGAGATATATCGAGTTGTTTCTAATCATCAGAGGCTATGAGAGATGATCGAAGATAGCTAGTGTTATTTAGACGACCGCATGTATAACAAAACGGATTCCTATAAGGCATTATTAAAGAAAGCAACGAGCAAGAAACTATCTCTCATTTGGATTTTGACTCAAATGAGGCCGATCTTAATCGATCGGAAATCCTAGTCAATGATACGATCTTTATTCTTATTATATCATTCTTAACGGAGAAATATCTCTCTTGGTGAGTCTGAACAGATTGTAGTTAGTCGGTCGTTCATTTCCAATAATTAAACCGACTATTTGACCTTAAAGCCCGCACTTAGGTAAAGCTTTTTGCTTCTTTCAAAGACAGATTCAGCTGCTTTCTGCCGCTTTCGATTTTGGCTGGGTCCTGCTTGTTTGAAATTTCGAAAATTGGTATACATCCATAGACATTTATACATAGTTCGAGATCGCCTCTTATAAGGGACTATCGTACGTAACCAATGTAAGCAGCCAATCGAGTAAATAAACATACAGTTTTTGTCTATTAAACGATTGTGTTTATTACCAGGGAGAGAAACGTGGGAATACAGTTGAAAACCCCCCCCCCCCCCCAATAACTCTATAGTAAGGTCTCTAAAGTAAACTCTAAAGTAAGAGGTACGACTCGATGTCTGTAAATAGTATTCGCATATTATCTTCGGAAGAAACCAGCCGCTGTGGCTTCTTCGTCTGTTTGGCTAAGTCCGAGTGCGTTAGTCTCTTTTAATCTGCTGGATACAATTAACTCATATTACAATTGCAATACACGTAGTTGTATTATGATTTAATCGTAAGGGAGGGGTTCAGATTTGTAATGATGAGTGATATGAGGTAGCGTTAGTGATATGAAGAAGTGCACTCTACCTACAGTAGTGCTTGCAGTGGAGTTTTCCTTTCTTCAAAGCCGTGTGCTGAAGCAACTATCTATTTATCTATCATAAATTTTCCTTGAGAACGAGACGACGTTTCGGTGGTCAGTATTTTACAGAGTCTGAAGGGGATGAACGATTACTTAACCACTGTAATGATACAAATCATTCGTAACATTGCCCAAACAATGGGCTGATTGTGCGGGTCATCAATCCAAATCAAATCAATGCGCTTTCTTCCACCATTATTTATAAAATTGTTGATAAAATCTATTTTTGTTTAACCAGACGCTTATCAGTTAAACGCGTACTCGCTCAGAGCACGTTACATCAGTTGAATCAATGATTGGCGATATAATTCTACAAATGTAATTAGATGCGCTTCATTCTTACTATTCTCGTTGCTTCTTCTCATGCATCAGTAACATATATACAAATCTCTTTCAATAAATAAATCTCTCTCGGTAAATACAACTGCAGCAAGACGAGAAAGTTTCAACTTGAACGTCTTAACTTGAACGCAAACGACCAGCTTGAACAAGCCGTTTTAGTATCTCTTTATGTGGGACTACGACCGGTTCGATAAAAGTTACAAAACACCTTTAAAAATAATCCCGTATTTTTCCACCTTTAATCGTTAAAATATCTATATCACTTAAAACAAAATACGAGTTTTGCGAGCGTTGTCAGTTCTGCGTTTTGCTACAAAAAAGCAAAAAGCTCTACACAGTTTTGACTAGGACGGTTCTACTGTAGATTGGTAGAAAGCCGCAAGCGCTAGGAAGTTGACGGAATGCTTCAGTTGAAAAAAGGTCTGGGAGGTAATGGGGGCGACGTTGAGAGCGGGAGCGCAGCTGGAATCTAGACTACAGGTAAGCAGTGTAAAAGATGGGAAACTGGACGGAAGAAAAGGCGGTCGAACTTCAGAAGAATTGTGTGAAAAGCCTACACGGAGGCATAGGCCGCTCAACCTAATGGCCTGAGCGGTAAGGAAACCGAAGGACCAATATGCCCGTAAGATCTCTCAATGAAAGGCTTTACTTTTAGGAGTCTAGTGGTTTTACTGGTCGCCTCCGTAAAGCTTCGCCTGATAAAGCCCACACTATTATTATCATCTGAGCGGATGGTACGTCCGATACACGAAACATTTAAACATGACACGGTAGTGTCTTGCAATTGATTTGATGATCTAAGCTAAATCCTTCCGGTTACCACCAATGGTCAGTCTAATGTTGTTTTTTTCGAACACTTCTACCAAAATATTCAATTGATTTTTTGTATTCTGTCCGACTTTTTTGCCTTTGTCGTAGGAAGCCTATATTTAGTACGACAAGTTGGTGAGCGGGCTGCTAAATAGTGGTGGAATAGTGGTGATGTGTAAACAGCAATAAAGTGACGTTCACTCTGCTAACGTTCCGTTGTGGAAGATCCCCGCATGTGTTTTCACTTTGCCATGCCATAGAGCTTGTGGCAGTTTCCCCCCCGTCCTCCCGACCGTGGCGACATAGGTGCTGTTGTTATTGTTTGAATCGGTCTAATATGCTGACGATTTTTTTCCATTTTTGGAAAATTATGTATGTTTTATCTTACCCTGTTCAGTAAACGGTTAGCGCAGAGACGCGTGCTGTTTGTTTCCACTTACCCAAGATTGTCAGTATCTCGGTGACTTCATTTGACAGCGACGTTTGAAATCAACGATATTTGACTTTCTTTTCAATTAGTCTTGCATTAACCCGTGTAGTATATAGCGCGACAGATCAACACCAGTTTTTTGCATAAAACTCAACAATTCGCTTAGTCTAGGAACACTCCTGTATCCAGGTCATACAGAATACAAAGTCCATGCGATATGAGAAAAAAGAGATTTTTTGCGCCATCGAAAACACCCAACTATGTGTACCCGAAGCAATTTTTAGATTTATATCCTACCAAAAGGTATATATAAAGTTATACATTCGCTAAATAAACTACGCTATTTACAATAGAGCCTCATTAAGCTAAATTCAATTGTCTTGTTAGGCCGGATTTAACGTTGTTTTTTTCATCGAACACTGCAAGTGCCTTATGTGGCTAAAAGCATGGTCTCTTGGCAGATGGGTATAAACTACATCCTACCATTATTGCTAATTACTTGTTCCTTTTTTTATCTTAGGTGAAGTATCTTCCCGGTTTTCGGCGGTCAAAGCTTAAAACAACTAGGTACTTTGACCACAGTTTATAATAAATAGCTGGAGTCTACGCAAACTCGTACGGTACAATAAAGATGACCAACGTCACGTTTAGCTTCCGGAAATAATAATTCTTTTTTAGAAAGCCACACATTTACTTCTGTATGGTTTTGATTCGAGATACACATCTTTTCTTAAAATGCGTCGAGCTGTTTCAGACCGACCTGAATGCTGGGTTAAGGTACTCAGACGACTGTTCTAACGTACCTCCCAAGATCCGTCACGTTTTCTATTGAGCAACTATTGGCTCAGCTAACATCCAACCGATATTTAATGTTAGTTCAGTGCAAGCGTGCTCGGCCACTGAACGCGTCTAGCCTCAATCCAATCAGCTTGCCTAGATAAAAATAGGCACATAGAGACATCTATCTGGGTTGTCGCAGTCTACTGCCGAAAAGGTTTGGCGATAGGTGCGAATGTTTTCGCTTGTCTGAAAACAGCATTGTCAATGATCAGATATAATTTCCGTGATTGGAAAAGGTCTCGGCGTAGCCTTTCCGATTTGCTTTACTATATATATATATATATATTTGTGACCACACAGACGTATATTTAGTCTGCATTTTGTATAGTATATAACATTATCCGTACGGTACAATGTGCAGTCGGTTTATGTCTATTTGCTACACAGGCGGTGTATTTCAACTATCGTTGGCAATTTAGATCTCCAGCAAGTCGTTGTCTAGACTGTTCAGAGAAAAAGCATAAACAGCGGGTATTCTTGAATATTATGAACGCTTCTTTCGATCTGTCGGACCGCCTCAGCTTGTTGACGAAGGGCTAACGTATTCAACAAAGCAACACGAATAGCTACGAATGAGCTTATTGAATATTGCAAAAATAAATGGCCACATTAACCGGAACAAATTTAGTTACTCAAATTTAATCACAACACCAAAGATCCAGAGAAAACCTTAACGCAGTAAAAACGGGAGGGGTGTGATTCTCAATGAATGAAAATGCCTTCCCTTATGTGTACATTATTGGCATAGTGTGGTAATTAACGGATCTATCAGATAGAGCCGTTAACGTTTTTAATATTGCATCCGACCCTCCTTGATCTCTCTTCAAGGGCCGAAAAAGAAGGGGCTCAATATTGAGGTTTGATGGATGCTGGTGGCTGGCTGATCTCCTAAACATAGAGAATAGCAAGAAAGCCTTCGTTATGAATCTCCGGTCTAAACTGTTCCGTGTACAGCCCATATATGCATAAAACACAGATGGAGAGAGTGAGATACTTCGTTGAACGTTAACAGAGCAGAGTATCTGAAGGGATATAGACAGGTATTACAATAGAAATTTTCCATTTGTTTTTTTGAATTTGAAAAACTGGATGATGCCCAGTTTAAGATGATTTGTTTCGTGTTATGCTTCAAAAAAACTAGAGTAGATGGTGCGACGCGGACCACGAAAACAACGCGGGGAATCTGCTGATAGATAATTAAAGGGCTCATCATGTCTATCTAACCTAACAAAATAATATTGGTGGTAAAAGACATCTCATAAGCAAGAGCATCCGTTGTTACAGCCTTTCATCTAGGTCTACCAAAGTAAAGCACAATCTTTAGAATTCCTGCGAGCAGATTGTTTTTTTATATTTGCAAGCCTCACTACTTCTCTTCATAAACGCATCCGGCCACGTCTGTTAAGCATCACTGCAAGTCAGTCGGAAAGACGTTATTTTTGTTTACATTTTCATAACAACCGCTAACGAAAATTGGAAAAATTTCATTTTTGTGGGCAGAAAGGTAGAACCTCTCGCGTCAAAAAGCCTTCGCTGAAAGCGTACAGTGCTGACATCTCACGGTGAAGGACGGCTACGTATATGGACGCGGGAGAAAGTAACGAGCACACATGCCAAACTTCGAAACAAACAAGACAGCAGCTCTTCAGCTAATTTTGTTATAAAGTTAAGCCGTGCTTTATCAGCACACCGTAACAAGCAACATACTGCCTAATACCATACGATTCACTAATCTCCTGCCCAAAAAGTATCTAGATATCAAGAAGAACAACATGGTATACCCGAATATGGCATTGTTTTGAAGACGAGGATGTTGATTTTTCATAATTTGAGGTTTGTATCCGACAAGAACCATCAGACAGCTAACGGGACCCTCATTAGATCCGGGCTGCATAAGAAGAAGTAAGACAGGAGTGACAGGGGGCAACACAAATTCGCACGAGGCTACTTCAGTCCTGTGGGTAGGACAAGCGTTACTTGTATATCGCCAAATCACCAGCTAAAGTCTCGAGACCCCACAACTTTCACCATTCACTCCAAATAATGAAAGATGGCTTCGAACGATCGAGAAGCTTTAGACCGCCGTGGATGCCAATAACGCAAGCTTGACTTTGTCTCCGCCCTAAACCTCTTCTCCCGGTTACCCTTCCTACAAACACGCAAACTGTGCGACGAGGTTTCTCTAACAGAAAAACTTCGCTACACAGTCCTTCATTCATAAAGGCCATCGTCCTAGGGGTACAGCCTCTGAATCCTTCTCCTGTCCCTAAAGAACGACGTATGTGTACAACGCGTTTCTCGAGCTAATGGTCCTGATGGACTGAAAAAGGGATTGGCTTAAAAAAGGATCTATAAAAAAGACCCTGAAGGAGGGAACCGTCAAGCGGAACTTTGTAGCAAAGGGGTAGTTACAACACGTTTTTGCGACGGATTAGTTATTGCAATAGTAGACCGCGTGCACCAGCTGCTACCACTCCTTTAGGGAAATGCAAGCGACTTTAATCCATATCTGTTCTCTGTCGAATTTTAATAAAACACTTAGTTCGTTTGTTTTCTTTGAAAAAACGAGCTTTTAGGAGATAAACATGCTGTAGACTTCTGGGAAGACTTCTGTTGTTATTTCACTTTTCCCTCTCTGCCACATTCACCGCCATTAAAAAGCCATAGTGATAGCCAGTGCTCATTTTTCAATGAAAACGTCACCATGATGGTTAAAGGCTAGCACAGCGCAGTTGTGCGCAACTAAAAGCCTGCAACTGTGACAAGACAGGGATTACTTGCTTCCCTGTTTCTAGAGAATATTTCGAATGACAAATCAGTCCGAGTCTCATTTAGCCGATAAATCGATAGAAGAAAAAAAGGTAATTGTGCGCACTGGTCTGCGGGTTTCACACTAGTCGTTGCATAGCCAAAAGGTATTCAGACTACACGAGAGGAGGTCAAGTCAGCACCACGTTGATTACCCGTTATTTGTCTTCTACAAAAGGTACAGGGTCTGACAAAGCAGGAGGGGAATTTGTTCGCTTCTTACGCAGAGTCTATACAACGTTTACTTAAGCTAGGAGCGGCTAGACTCTATTGATTAGTACTGGAATGCTGGCTGAAAAAGAAAATTACACGCCCCTTTCTAATGGCGTGCTTCTGTCGTTGCCGTCTGCTGCAGGAGGGATCTCTGCAAGCGATGGAACAAAATGCCTACATAGTAGTAGCACAGACTGCCGCTGAAATGAAGAGACTAGGCAAAGGTATAGAAACCATTGTACTGTTAATGCTGTAAGCTGTACTAATGCTTGCCTTGTGGGTGCCACTTAAGAGCGTGGATCGACCCGACGAATCGCCTGACGGTCCGCCGCCTTCGGGGGGTACGGCTAACCGGTCCGGGCATGGCGTAGATTGCTGACCTTCTTCCACGCCCGCACTCAACATGTCGCCTCGCCCTCGGCTGCCTAGACAGTCGATCTGGGTCAGGCTCTTACTTCGATGTGCCTGCAGGGACGAATATAGCAACGAAAACAATAAAAACAAAAAATTAGATAATGATCACAACGATAACAACAACAGTGATACTGCCGACAAACAAAACTAATAATAACGGCTAATAGTAATAATAACAACGTCGTGATGTCGACCTAGTAGTTTATCAGTCGGGCACATTAACGCACCCAAATCTGCTGCACGTGGTACAAAGCATTACTGATAGCATTGCTGAAGTTGCTGATTGTTTTTCATTAGTTGCTTTACATACACGCTACTGGATCTATGCGAATGTATCACGACTGAGTGAGTGATGACGACTGGTAACCATTTAAGCTGGGGCGATGCCTGGGTAGCAATTACGATGCACTAAACAATTTGTTTGTTGATCGAAGGCCATCATATAAGGCTTAAATATTGAACTCGTTTGGTAATCAGTAATCAATAGGTAACCCGCTGATACCGACTGATACTGTAGAAGCATATATTTTTGCATTAAGTACCATAGACGATGTACGTAAGTACGTCTTAATAAAACAGGTTACTTAATCGAACAACCATACCTGAACTCGGGAGAACTGTAATCAGTATTACATTTTGAAATTTGCTTTACATTTTTCATGCATTTAGTTGTTTCTTTCCGTCGATGTGTTTGATTTTACCTAGGGTTATCTAGAGACTAGCTATCACTAGCAATATCCCCAGGGGTAATGACACGCCATCGGTACGACCGTAGGCTTATTGCGTTGTTTATGGTCGATGAAGCGTTTATTATATTTATTCGATACAGGGAGCGATCAATGGCGTCCATATAGCTTTGCCAAGCTATTCAGGGATTTGAGTTACGGATCAACGTACGGGTAGATGCCAGTGACGAAGCGTTTTGCATTGATCTGTGTGTTCTACGAAAAAGAGATTAATGCCATGAGTAATATTTAGTATATCTAATAATGACAGACTATATAACGATCCGCAATCATATGTCAATTGACCTGTCTGTCAATACATCTTCGTAACGTTTTCATGAAACACGACCATAGTAAACAAATAGAGATAACATTTTTTAAATGGAAATTGGTAAATTAACAAACGAAGCTGCAATGAATCCAGCCTATCTTGGCTTTGCAGTACCGTTTATCATCCACTAATAAACCAATAGCGGAAACTGCTAGCTACCTGTCTCTCATTACGTTGAGACTTATTGTCCTCGATAACACATAACATACATTAGTAACTTAACCTTTGGAAGAAAGTTGTGCGGGTCACAGTCTCGCTGGCTGCCAACTCTAAGCGGAATTGGCCGCATCTCTCGAGACAGGAATACTTTTTTCCACAGTCGCAGTTATTCCAGCTCCAATTTATTCGTACTAAATGCCGCAAGCCTCCCGTTGGCCAAAAAAACACGCAATAGCCCAAAGCGCATAAAAATATGGATTAAAAAAAAAAGGAAAGACGATTGATCGTCTTGCGTTTCTTTTTTTTTTTGGAAGGAAAGCAAGTTTTTGTCACGTTTCAAAATCATCGATCATATTCAGAATCACAAACTAAAATAACCATGGACTATTCTGGTCAATGATATTTTGCCATTTTTCTAATAACACTATAATATCATCACTGTGGAACTTCTATGCTGTTAAACAAAAAATTCTGATAGGTGGTTCCTGCACCGCTCCGGTAACGCCAAGTTAATACCATTCAGGGAATTCTGCATATACCGAAACAGATGACAGTCTGATCAAGGCTGTTCGAAGTTATGCATCAAAATTTCCTATTCAAGTTTCATCAAGTTTTTCTAGGTAGGTCTTGGTGGAAAGCGACGTTTATTTATAGTACCGGTTCCGATATGTTTTTCGAACGACCTGTTGAAATATTGCTAGCTGTTGAAGGTAAAGGTCCAGGTCAATCTATTTTCCAGATGGCAGCAACTTACAATGCGCTATTTTTTTCAATGTCACCAAACCTTTTCTCGGGCGTCGGTTTGACTTTTTTTTTTCTACAATATCATTGTTTGTCTATTTTTCATCACGTGTGGTTAGTCGGCCAGAGTATTGGCTCAACTTAGTTATGTTCAAGGTAGTTTCGACGGAAATACGATCGAGCAAGTTACCTTGTGTCGGCTCGTGTGGCACCCAGGTATCGAGTTTTTTCATGCCCAGCTTTGTTGAAATTGGGTAAAAAAATTATTTAGTGGTAGATGTTTAATTCGTTGGCAATACTATGACCGTCCTTGCTTCACTTTCGCAATAATTTCATTACCTTTTTTCGTAACATTTCGGGAGACCTATTTCGCATCAGGATATTACCACATTTTTATAGTGAAGGCGACACAGCTTCCTTTCGATCGTTCCTTCCAATGACGTCGACGTCTATTCGAAGCGGCCCGTCTTATGAAATATATAATTATATATGAAATATATATACGTGTTGTATTATACCGAGCGGACCAATACTGGGTAAACCGACGACCGGCTACGAAAAGCCACACGTACCATCCATGTTCCAGCCAACTAGTGGACTTTAATGAAACATTATTTTACAATAAACTCTAAGAGTTCAAGGAACAGAGAGGCGTTCCTATATTTAATCTGGCCATATGCATTCGTTCGCCATTGGTTTTAGCCATCGATGCGTGGTAGGTCGATGATAAATTGAAAGCTGTTTGGTGTTCATGCGAATTCTAAAGCAGATGTCAATGAAGCGCGTTTTTATTTATTAGTTACCTTGCCAGCAGCTGTTCGTACGGCCGCCATTTATCATAGCCCTTTCTATTTCGATCTAATTCCCAGACACGATACATCCGAGTAGAATACGTGTTCCATCCTAGTGGAGCACGATACACGATGATGATACGTTAATAAGCCGTTTTAAAAAAATAACTAAAAAATATTGAAAAATTTCAAAAGCTATTCATTTTTTGTCTACGTAACCACTATGGTCGGTCAAGCCAATTAGCAGCGTACATTTCGATAGAAAGTAAATTTAAGCAAATTTTCATGTTAAATGAAGTTCTGCGCGGGGGTAGCCGATTCAACTAATCGATAGTTACCTTGGCGCTACTTATTATTTATTATCGAAAGAGGTTCAAAATTAGCGGCTAAAGCTTTTGAGTCGTTCCTATACTCTGGCTTTATTGGATTTCGATTTCGTACGGGCACTTGGTCCTGAGCCGCTGTGAAAATGTTTCAAAGAACTATTGAGTTCAGGAGGTTAGCGTTAAAAACGAGCAGATCAGGTAGAAGCGACACGGCGCTCATCAGTTTGATACAATGCTCGCACGTCCTCGTGCAATTTCAGACCGAAGTTGTAATAACATGCCTTGAAAAATAGATGTACCCTTAAAAAGCTTTTATATTTTCTTTATGTTTTTATTTCTGGATTTTCACAAAGGTCACCAATAAAAATATTCAAAGTTTGTCCCAATCACATTGGGGTCCGTATTGTCCGCGTGGATTCTATGCGTGTGACGCCAAAGACCTTCAGCTCCTACAGAGCAAAAAATTATATACATACTTTATTACCGTGGGCAATTGATACTCGCTAACTTATCTGACCGTACCTTCGGGTACGGTATAGAAATTATGTAATACCATTGCGTTAAAAGAACTTAGCTTCCTAGAACACGTACGTAATATAAATGTAATACAGCGAATCTATCCGTGAAAAATCCATGGATCGAAGTTTGCTTGAGCCGCGGATGCGCGGAAAATGCGGGCTTGCTGCAGTGAAGCAACTGTAACAAATAATTTATGTGAGATCAACAATATTTGGTCAAGTCTTTGAGGATCGCTTTTTATATACATAGGCGGTCTCAAACATTTCCAGCCGAATTTTCACCATTTACATACACTACTGACAGAGACAACCTAAACCAATTTTCTATTCTCGATGTTGCTGAAGGGCAACCTTATCCAATAAGAGGGCCGAGGAAATCAGTCGGAATCATCGTATATCCAGACAACTCAATAACATATACAAATACAACATAGCATACTCTAGCTCGGTCTCCCGCGGCACTCATTGATTTGAGACTGATTGTAAACCTGAGCAAGGCGGAGGCGACGAAGCTGACGGAAAGAGACAAGATAGCAACCATCGATAGCACCTCGTCTTTTGCCACGTCATCTTTTGCCTATTTAAACCAGTTATCGTACTAGTAGTCTTTCCCTTGCGGAAGGGCAGTTTCACTGTGCACATCACCGAAATACGCAGGAAGGCAGTATAGGTCGCATGGGTGATCGGATCGCCTCATCGCGTGTCCCTCAGGGCCACAATCAGCCCATTCAACTTCAAAGTAGCTTCGCTTGCAACGTATGGGACACGCGTCTTTTGGGAAGATCTTGCAGCGAGGATCTTAGACAATCAAATGGCGTTGAAACCTTACTCTTCAGTCAAGCACTGAGACTACTAATATATAGACGCCAAAATGCCCTCGCAGATCTCGCAGCCGACTCACCACTTCTGCTCGAGGGCGTACGTCGTTGCTTTGAAAGCCTTTACAACAGACCGTAGTAATGGGGAGCAAGAATTCGCACAAATTGATGGGGATTTCTCTGCTTTAAGTGCGTAAGGGAGGCAACGAATAGAACTGGTTAAACAGACATATCGCCAATTGCTTTGTCGTGTATTGGTTCTGCCGTAGACTTTGCAGGAAATCAAGTGTTCCTAAGCCTGACGATACATGTACTTGCTCCAGATACATCTGCTACTACTAATTTCCCAGATACATGGGGAATTAGTAGTAGTAGGTATCATCCCGCTCGTTGCCCCTTAGTACCATCTGTAAGACATCTTGCAAATCTCTCAAATTGATTTTATATTCTCGACAAGACTCGTATAATCCATATAACGCAAACTATTTTAAATAGTTTTACTTTTTCCGGTTTTTGGGACATTATGTTGCTAACTTTTGCGTTAAGTTTTTGCGAATATTTTGACCACTGCCTGTAGACCTAAACAAACTATATTTGTTGTATATATATAGATATATATGAAATAAACTGTGGATGTATAGT